AAGGTTTTCACTTACCGAAAGCTCGGCAATCACATATTCCAGAGCACTGATTTGATATTATATTATATTACAATTTTTTCGTTGTCGGTTTAGCAAAGTCTAAAGGGGCTATTACTTGAGTGACCCATAAGAAGCAGCCCTGTTTCCTCAATCCAAATCGTCGAGAGTTACTTCGAATCATTCTCCCCCTGGGTGATTTCCACAGTGACCAAGGTAGTTCGTTCAAGCCCAGTAGAGGCGCCGGTGACAGTGATTTTCCCACCTCCGCGGTGGTGTCTCGCCAAGAACAAACCCAAACAGGAAGACGAACATGACGAAACTAACTCACCTGAAGATATTTCAGAAAATGACATGTGAGTGCAATACCTGCATTATTCCCCACATTTTGAGGAAGCCACACTGCGAAGCAAGATTGACTCGACTGTACATTAGGTCTCAAAACACTTTCATCAGCGTCGTTTTCTCATGCACTTTGTGCGCTATCTTTCGTTGGCTGTGCTATCGGTTGATCTTGCTGCACGACCATTTTTTTTCACCACAAGCCGACTGCCTTTTCTTTCTTATTCGCAGTTGTGGAAGACTTTTTTAAAATTGGGAAATAAATTCCGAGATTTCCCAAGGAACAAGAGACCAAGTTATGCGAGTCAAGCGTGTTACAGCCCATTAATACAAACACAAGCTCTGTTAAAAACGTCCACTTTCAACCTTTGCTTTGTTAATGCAGTTTATGGCCAATATGAAATGTCTGAGGGAGCAGGAAATTCAGTGTCTGCTTTTCGTTGGCATTTTTCAATGTCACTTATGGAATTATTTCGTTCGCACAGTTGGGTAACACCTTCCTGAACAGAGATTTGCAGGTGAAAACCTTAGCTTGCCTACCGCCCGTACTTTGTAGTACTTCATTAATTAATTTTGGGCAAAGCCGTTAAAATCAGTGTGTTTCAACAACTGTTGAAGCTTGTAGTAAACATGTCCAATCAGGTACTAACCAAAACAAACACTATAGGCAAGAACAACCTTTCCATTTTCAAAGTGTTAACTTGACGTGTCTTACTTCAGATCTGATGTAGGCGAAACGAAAGAAGTTCTGATTTTCAAGGTGAAAAACGGGTCATTTGGCAGAATTATTGGCAAAAAGGTAAGAATTTCAAAGTCAAACTGTGTTGACCTTGAGAAAATGAAACAACTCAGCCACCGATTCAATTACACGTGACACACACCTTAAACCGACATATTTCTGATGTTACCAACTTAAGTACAAGCTGTTAAATAACAGCATACCGCCCTCCTCTCCAGTGATGTACTGTTCTCTTTTTGAAGTTAATATTTGAAAAATTAAAAGTTACCGAATTTTTCCAAGAACACGGATAAGAGTCACATGTATTGTTAAGAGGTGGGTACTCGTTTTCTGTAGGCCAGATATTTGGGGGAAAATGGACTGAATATGACAGATTTTGCAGAATTCTGCGGAGGTTTCTTCCAATATGGATTCTAAAGACTAATTGCGTGAAATTTTGGGGGATCTTCCCGCCCAAGTGCTCTCCCTGGTGAGAAAATAAAGGCGTATGACATAAACAGACCTTCCCAGAATTAGCTTTTGTGTGTTGAATCGTCAGTGTCTTTTCTTAATTCTAGAGCCAGTCGAAGTTATTTTGTGTTCTGTTTGGCTCTGGATTTGTCCTACTTTAGGGCTCCATTGTAAAGGCGATGAGGAATGACTTCAACCTTGTCATTATGTACGGGAGATTGGATGAGCGACATTACTTCTTCAAACTGGAAGGTAAAACACCTAAACAAAGTGAAGAACAACTGATTTTTTTTCGAGGGATTAATGACGGATCAGTGTGTCCAAATTTCCCGCTTAGACTCTTCAAATCATTTTAATAAGATTCTTTCACATTTAATTATCTGGGGAGAAGGTTACACGTGTATGATTTCAACACTTTTTTAAGTTCAAGACTGCAGAGTGGTATAGTTTACAGTTTTGTTTAATTGTCAATTTAATCCTGCCCTGGTTTGATCTGAGGAGATTTCCAAAAAGCAATTTTCTTCAATTTTCTCCTTCCATTTAATAGGAAAATCTTCTGGTGTTAAGTCAGCCAGAGCTCTGTGCTATCAGCGGGTACAATCGGTGAGAATACACGACTCTGTCAGTTATATTTCGTATTCCATCTTAATCATTTTCCTTTTGTTTCATTTCCTAATAATTAGCGAATGATTTCTTGAAAAAATCAATTCTTCAGTTCCTCTGTTCACACATAACAGGGTTTGGAAGAAATTCAACCCATGGACATAGCACACCGCGTATCGCCAGAGAACATTATCAGGTATGTATGTCACTTGTTTAGATTCAAACCAAATCTGAAACAGCGATATCAAGTCGAGTTTTTAGTTTTTCCGTGGTGAAAAAATACACGAGTAATAAAAGTATAGAATCTTGAATTAATAAGACATCTTTTCTCCGATTTCCCCTTCTTCAGTGTTAAATACTCGTACTTTCCATGGCATCACGGACGCATCGTGGGAAAACAGGTATGCTTTTGGATTTCGAACATGAAACTCATGTTGACCAGATCATATTTATCCAAAGGCAAAATGGTTTCTGTTGAAAGGACAAACTGTACAACGATGAAGCTTTTTCGGAAGGTCCAAACTCGAAAATGTTTGCAGAACGATGGAAAGCACAGTAAGGTATAGCCCCACTGATAGGAATCAGTGGCGTAAATTTGCACCAGAAATTGGGGGAATGGGGTATGGGGAAAGTGGGAGGGGGGGCTGACCACCCAGCCATGGAAATTTGAAAAGCAGGGGGGGGGTTGACACCAAATACACTATATAAGGGGTGATGTTAATGAATAGATGTACATCTATTCATTAAGGATACCATACTATCCATAAGTATGCAAAGGATACTTATGGCTTTTTAAAATTTTTCTTCTTGTTTCAGTAATATTGAAAACATTTAAGCTGTTGGGAAGTGCGAAAAATTCTTCACAATCCGCTTTAAATTTTTTGCTCCTCACAAAAAGGTGTGTGTGTGGGGGGGATTCAGTAGCCAATCCTCCCGTCAAAAAGTGGGGTGGGGGGAAATATATCCCCCTCCCCCGGGTTTACGGCCATGATTGGAATTGAGTCTTAGTATGGTCCTAGACAATCAACAGACGCTAAGGTGGAGCGCGGTTCATGTGCTCAAGTCCGTAGACTCATGCATGTTAGAGTTCGAGTCTGCTTTTCCACTATTGTCTGGGTCTGAGCTGCCACATTATTTTGTAAAAGGACGATGTTGCCTGATTCCAATGTCTGCTGTTCTCACTTGCAGGCACGATGTCTCAAGGAAATACGAGCCAGTAACGTGGCAGTATGGGTCAACTTTGGCGAGGAGTTTCATCACATGGAACTGACAGGTATTTGAAGCTGCAACATTCTCATTTCAGCCCAACAAGAAAACCTAGTGCCACCGTGGAGATAGAGAAGTTGATCTCTACGTCCTATCTGGTGTACTGTTTGCAGGGACCCCTTCCAACGTGAGAAAGGCCCAGCTCTGGATCATGGAGAATCTGAATGCGACGCTGTTCGCGAACATGCCCGACCTGGTGGAAGCCCCGGATGTTCAGTTGCCGTCCCAGGCCGGGGAGGACCAGGGCGCAACGGCCGAAGCCGCAGGACCCGAGCCAGAGGCGGTGTGCGGGGTGTGCAGTTGGAATTGGGCCCAGGCATCCAGCCAGCACTGATGAGATTATGGATCCCAGACCTCCACTGATCGGGTTCCTTCCCCATCTAACCTGGCCTTCCTGAGGCGCGACCAATGACGACGTGATGGCCAACAGACTCGGCGGAAACCCGGTCCTTATAGACTCTCTGTGAGCCATAGACTCAATCTGACCCTTAGATGCTGAGGCTTACCCCGTCACCAGACTGCACATCTGTGCGTGCTGTTTTCATTAAGCATGCAGTCTGGTTCCCTTATCATCGAGCTAGTGGTGAAACCCTGGGGTTAAGGACAATTGTAAAAAAATTGTATATATTGTAGATATCATTGTAAATAGTGTAAATATTGTACAGTCAAAAAAAGAACAC